ATTTTTACAGTCATTTTTTATCTACAGTATATCTGATTCTTTTGTATTTCTTTTTCCCTAGCAATGAAGGCAGACAGGAAGCGTTTGAGGTTGGAAAGAACTGATCTGGTGAATCAGATGCAGCAGCTCTACACAACACTGGAGAGCCGTGAGGAGCAGCTACGAGACTTCATACGCAACTATGAGCAACACCGAAAAGTATTTTACTCGCATACATGCATATCTCATGCATTCATACTAGCATAAAACTTTAAACATGCATAAATTCCCACTTACACACATGCTTCAGTATTACACACACTTCTTATTTATGTGTTGCAGGAGAGCGAGGATGCAGTGAGAGTTCTGGCAAGGGAAAAAGATTTGTTTTAAAGTATTTAAAACAGGTAAGTTCATATATTTGGAGTAAATTTAAATTAAACAGATACATCAGTCATACAGCACTCCGGACCGCATGCTCCATGGTGAGCCCGGCGCGCTGCCTCAGAAACAAGAATGAGATCGTCAATATCTCTGACTATCATCGATGAGAACAGGATCAAGGAGCTGGAGGCTGAACTGACTATGGTGAGATACACAGAGTTTAGAAAAGCAGGGTATCCTACTTTTTGTCTTCTAAGTGGATGAGTGAGTCTAGAGATATTTGACGTGTTCATCTTGTTTAGAATGTCTTCATGTGTCTTCAAACAATCTGTCAACTGAGTAGCTCAAAAATGTCAGTGTTGAGTTGTGTGTGAGTGTCCGTGTGCGCTTTTGTTGTGTGTGTTTCTTTAACAGATGAGTAACTTTATGGCTCAGAAACTTGAGAGTCGCGTGTTTGTTCGATCTCCAGAAAGACCAGCCTCACCTAAAACAGTGTCGGTAAGATCAGCCAGGCCTGTCACTCAACCCCAAGTCCCTCTTTGATTGGTCTGCAGTTTTGACTCCTCATCCAATATGGTCAACTTGATTGGTTGCACGTGTATTTTGTTTTGAGAACAAACTCATTGTGTATATCGAATGGAAATAGCATGAGTGGTTCTGTTCCATCACTGTGAGCGTGAATGTTCTTCTTTGCATGCTAGTTTAGTAGAATGTTTAGGAGCTTGGGAATCATTCTAAACCACTGAAGATGTGGTGGTGGTGGTGGTGGTGGTGGTGTTCTTTTTGGCTTGTTTTCTGGCATGATTGTGGTTTAAAATGATTTTAAACTAGGCCCAACATAGAATCTGCCCAGTTTTTCAGACATACACATACAAATGAAAAATGTGGAGAAACAGACAAAAAATAAAAAAAAAATAAAAAATATATATATATATTTCTATAAAATGCACACACACAATATAAATTATATATATATGACTTTAGCTCCAGACTGGCACTACTGTGAAGCGTTTGGAGCAGTTATTCTGGGCAGTACTACACATTCATTTTCACACATTTTACATTTGTTTACAACACTCTCTTTAGACAAGGAAGTGGACCGTATTTAATTAAATCTGTTTGTGTGTTCCAGGCAAAACAGTCTTTGGCTACTCTCACTAAGGATGTTCCTAAGCGACACTCACTGGCCATGCCCACAGAGACTGTCGTCAACGGCAACCAAGAGTGGGCGATGCATGCAGAGCTTCCTCTGACTGCGGCGATACGACAGAGTCAACAAAACCTTTACCACTCAATGGACAGACAGGGTAAACATACATACAGCAAAGACCTGTCTGTTTAAAAATCTGAACCACAAAGCTGAGAATTACTGATGGAAACTGAGTTAAAATCAGCCTCCTAATTCTCCTAATGTTTGTGTCTGTTAGTACTAAAAGCATCACCATGCGTGTGCGATGCTGACAGCATCAGCATGATGTCATCAGCCGCAGCCAGGATCAGTCCATGTCACTCTAAACAACCGTCAGTCATCTCAGACGCCTCTTTGATGGAGGGAGAGAGATCCTCAACACCTTCAGATTCACCACGACACAGAACACACTCCCTCTGCAATGTAAGACAGACACAGCATTCCACTCACTGTGACACTCTTTGCATTGCAAAACACATGCACAAATGGACAAATGTAATACATGTGGCATGGTACTGTTTACATGACATCTAAACCACAATACATTTACATGCACATTTACATATACTCATTTAGCAGACTCTTTATCCAAAGAGACTTACAAACATATCTAACAATTTGTCACAGTGTCAATTGTGTTACCATAACTATTTTTAATATTCTTTACTTGGTTAAAATTTAAGTCAAAATTTGTCTGCAATAACAAAATTTAAAAAAAAATAAAGGACTATATTATTATTATTATTATTAAAATTCAATTAATTATTCATGTAATAATTCTAATAATTAAATACTACAATTAATTGTAATCTAAAATTATAATAATATCATTATTGTTACTGTTATTAAAAATGCATTGTGTTACATACATGGTTTCCAATATTATTTCCTTGATAAAATGTAAGTAAAAATTGTCTGCAATGACAAAATAACAAAAACAATATAGGGATTATTATTATTATTATTCAAATTGTAATAATTTTTAAAATAATTAAATATTGTCATTAATCTGAATCTAAAGTTATAGCAATATTATTATTGTTACAATTATTACAAATGTATTGCATTACATAAAGTAAAGTTTTGTCTGCAATAACAAAATTACAAAAAAAGGACTTGTAGTAATAATAATAATAATAATAATAAAATCTATTTAAACTGTAAATATTTCAAACCACAGTAGAACTCTCATTTCACATCTTGAGTGGTATTCTGATTCTTTAGCTGTTATTGTTCTGTGAGATTAAGATATTGTGACAACCTTCATGTGTATTGTGCCATGATGCAGAATAGTTTCTCTGCTCATTTTTGATGAATCACCTTTGCTTCTATTGCTTATTATTTATTTCTTTATCTCTGTTTCCAGTCTCTAGAGGATCTAGAGGAGCAGAGACGCAGAAAGAAGAAAGAGAGGATGGGTCTGGGCTCTCTGTCGAGGGTGTTTGGTCGAGGAAAGCAAAGAAAGTCTCTGGACCCCACTCTGTTTGATGGTACTAACACACCTGACTACTACATAGAGGAGGATGCTGACTGGTGACGCTGCTGAGAGCCCCCCCCCACTCGTTTCTCTGTGTGTGTGTCCCTCTCTATCGCTGCCATCTTTATGAGCACAAGCTTGACCGTACAATGATTCCAAACTGTGCCACAGTAGACCCAAACCTGCCCAGAGTTTGTGTGTGTGCGTGCGTGCGTGTGTGTGTGTGTGTGTGTGTGTGTCTGTTAATTTTATACCCACTTTAGCATCTCACTGGAAACTTGAAAGACTGCTGAATGTGTAAATAATTGTCATTGTGCACTCAGTGCTTGTAAGTGTTTCCAGATGCCTTTTATATCATTTAACGCTCATTGTCTCAGCTGTTTTTAAACCCGTGTGTTAAACATATTGATGGAGCTCTCCTGTCGGAAGTCAGCGGGACCCTCGATATTATTATGAAAACCCAAAAAAGACATTTGCTATTTCACACTGTGATCCAAAAGATATCTATTCATCTAACTGCAGCATATTCTGACATTTGGACATTTGATGTAGTGTGTGACTTTTAGTGAGCAGTGGCTCGTCCTGCCTTTCCCACAGGAGAGTTTATAATCACCATTACACACACTAACTCTGACAACTGCCTTCACAACAACATTAACCAGGAGGCAAAAACTGATCTGAGAACTGTGTGGAAATACAAAACCCAGATCACTGGTTATAATAAAAACTCAGTTAGTTAATAGTTGTCATGGAAATGATTACTATACCTTTAATAAAGCAGGGTATGACATAGAGCTCCACAGTAGTTTCCCATGTTGCTTTACAACTGGGAACTAGATTACCTTTACTCTACAGGGCGTTTCACCATTAAACTTTGTATTTATAGTCTATTATTTTTATTTTTCTGAAATCAATGCTAGCTATCAATCAGTGGCAAATTCTTACCATTGTGTACATTTCAATATTGCACTGACATGAAATGAAGAAATAAATGAGTTTTCAGAGCATGTAGTGAGTTCTTCATCAGCTGGAGATGGAGAGACGGCTCTCGTTTCCCTGCTGCGTTTGGCTCAGGCTGGTGCTGAATAGCATGGAACTCTAAATGGCATGGAAATGAAAATGGTTATAAGTTATATAACTACAGACTATTTTGAAATAAAATCAAAAATACTGAACAGTGTGTGGCTGAGTTCTTCGCTCTTTGTAATTGTGTTTTGGCACTTGAGCTTGTCTTTGGCTCAGGTAGTAGAGAGCGTGTGACCATAATCAACTAAATAATTACTAAATATCCTTAACCACATGGGGCATTTATCTGTATGTATGTGTGGTTGTTTAACCCATTCGTCCTTTTTATCTCACTTTGAAGTCTTTATGGGGCTCTCAGTCATTTTGGCACAGGATGAATTCTGTAAACATTGTTTTTCTCTGCAGTGGCTCATTAGCTCCTGGTGATGTGCAAACCCCACAGTCCTGATAATGACACTATTAGAGAAGGAGGAAAAAAAGGTTTCACATATTAATATCTTATGAATATCTGGCAAAACCAGACCAGACTGTTTGTCTTTTCCATCAACATTTACTCTTTACAAGCACTTAGCAGTAGCTATCTGTTTTGTCAGTCATTAATTTACAACCTCTGGACCCATACACTTAAGATTGATTCTAAGTAAGCATTGCTTTGCTTTTCGAAACAACACTTGATCGCAGTTTTTGAATGCGGTTTAGTGCTGCCGTCTACTGGTGAATTTATTGGTTCGCACACAAGGCGCTTTAACAGTCGCTTTAGAGGTTGGTTCTCAAAAAAAACTATGATGTAAATGGAAAAAAATGTGTTCCAAAACATTTATCTACCTTCTTATCTCTGAATTAATATATTTTGTGTTTATGGTACCGTATACATATTTATCTTCACCTGAGAAAACACGGTGATTATGCTCATAAATTATAGAAAACAAACTCGCATTAAGTTCCGCCCCTCTCCCGTCATCCACTAATCTAGACTCCGACAGTTTATCAAGCCCCGCCCGCCTCAGTGTGAGCCTATCAGAATGCGAGGAGCATCTGGATCGGCTTCAGCAGGTGGAGCTCGCGCGGACTGCCCCCATGTCCAGTTGGCGTGCAGGAACCGTGCAGGCGTGGCTGGAGGTGATCATGGCCATGCCGATGTACATACGGGCCTGTGCAGACAACGTTAAAAGTGGGAAGGTAGACGTGACCTTGTTTTTATGATACATGAACACTTGTCTACACCTGTCTATAAAATTATACCCCAAAATACAAAGCTGATCCTATCAGCTCTGAATGCTTTGGGCTATTTAAACAAGCAGTGTTTGTGAATGTTAGAATTACACATTAATCTGTGTGTGTTTTTTTTAGGTCTTGTTAGTTCTTAGGGATGAGGACCTGGAGTTTGTTTTAGGTATCAGTAATTCAATGCACCGCAGGAAACTCCGTCTGGCCATTGAAGACTACAGGGATGCAGAATCAGGACATGGGTGAGACACACATAAATAATAATAATGATAATAACAAGATTACATCATACAGAGAACCCCTGCAGATTCTCATTACTGTGTGTCAAGGTAAATAGGTCTCTTAAAAATATCAGACAATTCTTTTTGATGGCAAATCAAGTTTAAGATTGTAAAATGTGAAGGGGATAGTTCATAAAAAATTTCTGTTATCATTTACTCAACCTCATGTCATTCCAAACCCATATGACTGGTTAACATTCAAAACACAAATTATTTTTAAGACATTTTTTAAGAACACAAGATATTTTTTTAACAAAACCTAAGAGGTTTCATTCCCTCCGCTGAAAGTCCAGGTAACCAAAACTTAGAAGACCCCGCCCCCCCAAAAGTAATAAAGGCATTGTAAAATTAATTAATATGAATTAAAGTCTTCTGAATAGATATGATTGGTTTATAATGAACAAATCTGAGGGTGAGTAAATTACTCACTATCCCTTTAAGGTCAAGTGGTGTGACTCCCCAAAAACTTAATGCTGCTGTATTATGTTATTAATAGCATCACTGTGTTATGTCATTATTAATAATTCATGATATTTGTGGAAGTTATTTTTATCATTTTTAAATATTAAAACAATTATTAAATGAATAATCCGGGTTTAGTACAAGTTAAGTTCAGTCTGTAACATTTGTGTCATAATGTTGATTACGAAACAAAGACAATGTCTTGTCACTTGTTTTCTTTTTAGAGTTTTTGGAATTGTAATTTTGAATTGTAACCTTTCTTGAAAATGGTATCAAAACCATATGAAACCAGCATGAACACAAAGAGTGCATTTCTAAGAATTTATTTCTAGATTTATAAAATATTTTTAATTTTCTTTATCGTGGCCATGTGTTTCAGCCTTTCTAAAGCAGCTGATCTGGATCACCACTGGGTGGCTCAGGCCTGGCTGACTGATGTGGGACTCCCTCAATATTCCCAGTTCTTCCACACTCACCTTGTCGATGGACGTCTTCTAAGTACACTCACACACACTGACCTTGAGAAGCATCTGCACGTGTCTAAAAAAGCCCACCAGAACAGCCTGCTGCTGGGAATACAGCTGCTACACACGCTCAACTTTGACAAAGAGGTAAACACACACACATAAACCAGAAGAACAGCATGATGGGAATTCATAACATGGCACTAAATAAACCTTACCAAAAGGCAACAACAACCATCACAAACACACACATCAGAACAGCCCAGCTTGGAAAAACATACTCTGATTTTATAAAGGTCTCTATAGTAAGTTAATGAAGCTAAACCACAAATAACCAAAAAACGGTTTTGCTGCAGATTTTGCAGTCCAGGCGATCAGAGTGTGGGAATCAGAACACAGACCCAGTAGTGTGGACCTGTCATCGCATCATCAAATGGATCAAAGAGATTGAGGGTGAGACACACATAAATAATAATAATGATAATAACAAGATTACATCATACAGAGAACCCCTGCAGATTCTCATTACTGTGTGTCAAGGTAAATAGGTCTCTTAAAAATATCAGACAATTCTTTTTGATGGCAAATCAAGTTTAAGATTGTAAAATGTGAAGGGGATAGTTCATAAAAAATTTCTGTTATCATTTACTCAACCTCATGTCATTCCAAACCCATATGACTGGTTAACATTCAAAACACAAATTATTTTTAAGACATTTTTTAAGAACACAAGATATTTTTTTAACAAAACCTAAGAGGTTTCATTCCCTCCGCTGAAAGTCCAGGTAACCAAAACTTAGAAGACCCCGCCCCCCCAAAAGTAATAAAGGCATTGTAAAATTAATTAATATGAATTAAAGTCTTCTGAATAGATATGATTGGTTTATAATGAACAAATCTGAGGGTGAGTAAATTACTCACTATCCCTTTAAGGTCAAGTGGTGTGACTCCCCAAAAACTTAATGCTGCTGTATTATGTTATTAATAGCATCACTGTGTTATGTCATTATTAATAATTCATGATATTTGTGGAAGTTATTTTTATCATTTTTAAATATTAAAACAATTATTAAATGAATAATCCGGGTTTAGTACAAGTTAAGTTCAGTCTGTAACATTTGTGTCATAATGTTGATTACGAAACAAAGACAATGTCTTGTCACTTGTTTTCTTTTTAGAGTTTTTGGAATTGTAATTTTGAATTGTAACCTTTCTTGAAAATGGTATCAAAACCATATGAAACCAGCATGAACACAAAGAGTGCATTTCTAAGAATTTATTTCTAGATTTATAAAATATTTTTAATTTTCTTTATCGTGGCCATGTGTTTCAGCCTTTCTAAAGCAGCTGATCTGGATCACCACTGGGTGGCTCAGGCCTGGCTGACTGATGTGGGACTCCCTCAATATTCCCAGTTCTTCCACACTCACCTTGTCGATGGACGTCTTCTAAGTACACTCACACACACTGACCTTGAGAAGCATCTGCACGTGTCTAAAAAAGCCCACCAGAACAGCCTGCTGCTGGGAATACAGCTGCTACACACGCTCAACTTTGACAAAGAGGTAAACACACACACATAAACCAGAAGAACAGCATGATGGGAATTCATAACATGGCACTAAATAAACCTTACCAAAAGGCAACAACAACCATCACAAACACACACATCAGAACAGCCCAGCTTGGAAAAACATACTCTGATTTTATAAAGGTCTCTATAGTAAGTTAATGAAGCTAAACCACAAATAACCAAAAAACGGTTTTGCTGCAGATTTTGCAGTCCAGGCGATCAGAGTGTGGGAATCAGAACACAGACCCAGTAGTGTGGACCTGTCATCGCATCATCAAATGGATCAAAGAGATTGATCTGAAGGTACCACTGAGAGAGAACAGCAGTGCTAACAGAGAAAGTGTAGGTGCATATAGAAAAACATATTTTTTTCATTTAGGAGTTTGCTGACAATCTTCAGAACAGTGGGGTTCATGGCGCCATCATGGTGTTGGATCCCTCCTTCAGCTCTGACACCATGGCGACAGCTTTATGTATTCCATGCAACAAGCACATGGTCCGTCATCACCTGAATGACGAGATGAAAGCACTTGTCAGTGCAGCCAGGTAAGAGAACGGGAGAGAGGCACTGTCTGTCTGTTAGTATTGTTGTAGAGTTAGGCACAGACACATACAGTACAATGATGCTGTACTGTATGTGTCTAACTCCACAAATGCGTGTCTCAATGAATAAATGTCTCTTTGAATACATTGTCATACAAGATCAAGAGATGGTCGAGTCATGCCGATTTCTCTGATGTCTGTGTCAGCAGGGCAGGGCTTGATCAGGAAGTCGAACCTTTGGGGACTCCGCCCACACTTCACCGGCAAAGTTCTCTAAGCAGCTCATCACCCAGTTGTCATGACGATCAGCAGTCTTTAAGGAGGGTGAAGGTAGAACACTAAAGATGAATCATACATTTTTAAAACTCATACAAATGCCACATTTAGGCATTTAAGCACTGAATACTTAAATACATAGACTTAATAGGCTATTTATTTTCAAACCTTTTTACATTTGAATCTAGACTACAACGTGCCCTAGATATTGTTTGATAATTGTTCGGTCACACAACTTCTGTAACAAATATTGCTCATTGTTAATGTTAATGCATTAACTAACATTAAATAATAATTCTTTCGCACTTTAATCTGTTTGAAACATTTGTTTACTTTATACATTTTTGTGTATTACTTTATTGTATTTAAATGGTCAGTTCTGTTTGTTCTAAGTAAAAAAGTTTTTAAACCTGTTATATTATTACAACACATTTTTGCAACTTATTTCAATACCGTGATAATACCGTGTATCGGCAATTATCACAACATGAAAATTTGATACCGTCACATACCTAGCCACATTTAAGGGTAAATCATTTGAAAGTCGTCAAGAACATGTACGGATGGGAACATTAAAAGAAAGAAATTAAAATGTATGTTCTGAAAAAGAAAATAAATCCGATTTTTATTGTTTTACAGTATATATATATGCAACAATATATAATTTTACTATTATTTAAATTAAAAAAAGGATTGCAGTATTTGTAGTCTATCATCATTTACTCACTCTTGTGTCGTTCCAAAACTGCAAACTTTCTAACATAAAGGAAGATATTTTGAAAGAATGTGTTTTTTGTTCATACAATGGAAGTCAATTTGCTCCAGTGTTGTTTGGTTCCCAGTGTTTTTCAGAATATCATCTTTTGTGTTCTGTGTGTTCCATAGTTTGGAATGACACAAGGTAAATGATGGCAGAATTTTTGGGCGAACAGTTCATTTAAATGTAGTTAGTTAACACTTTAACCTTTGCATAAATCTTTTTGCACAACCACTGTGTGCTCTCTTTTCAAGGCCTTTGCTCTTTAGTTCCTTCAAGTGTAGTTCTCAATAACAATGCATCCTCAGAGACTGATGATTTGTAGTATTGCTTGAATAATTCTTGAAAGTCAAATGCTTGTAGCACCAGTGAATCAGAAATCTGATAGATCAATTTACTTTCTACAGCAGCAGCTCGGTCTCAGCCCAAAGAATTTCACTGGACGGAAGATCAGTCACCAGAACAGATCCGGGTCATTTCCAAGGAATGGACTTCAGGAGGTCTCACTACAACGAGAGCGTTGCCCAGTTCGACATTTTTCTGCTGCTGAGCTCACCAATGTCTGAGTTATTCTCCTGACACTTTCTTAAAGCTCCCAAATGGGGGATTTTATTTCCTTTTTCAAGGTGAATGTCGATGAAATCTCAACGAAAGTTCACATTGTCAGTCTCTGGACTCTCAGTTTGCCAGTAGGGGTCTTGGCTTTGCTTTGTAGACCTTATGTTGTTGTGTATAACTGTGGACTCATTTGTCTCAAAGTGAGACAATCTTAAGAATGCATTTGAAAGGGCACGTACACTAAACATTTATTTATCTGTTTAGATGTTTGATGAAATTATTGTCACGTAAGGAATGTGTGAGGATTCAGGGTGAAGTATCCTGACAATTTTAACTAAGATTTGTGAGAACTCCACAATGAAAACTGTGGTAAAGTTGGACTTTTTCCCCTCAATAAAATGAATATTTTCACATTTAATGGGTGCAATTTAGAAAACCGACTCTGAAAACATTAGATTTAGTACTACAAAATACTGTACAAAATAATGTAAAATGTTGTGTTACACAGTACATCATTATTTAAAATAGATGATTATTTGAATTTCATGAATTTACCTTTCATGGTTTTATCTTTATATCCACTGGGTTTCACTTAGTCATGTGGTTCAAATCCACAGTAGGTAAATAGCAGGTCCATAACTACAGGTTAGTACACATGCTCGCCCAATCACAGTGCACAATTTTGTATAATATGACATTTCTCTGAGAACTCAATTTCAAATTTGCCTCTACTCCCACTTAACCAAATGGTTCAAACCTGCTGCTTTTGTGTCCCAACTGTAAAACACCATATCAAATCTCAATATCATGCAAACATAGCTAGTAAGCTACCAGCTCCAAGGTCATGCACATTGCTAAGCTGTAGCAGGGGTTAGGCTAATCATCATAGTAAATGTGAAACGATCAAAGATATGACTTGTTTATTTATGTTTATTAAGCGACTTTCTGAAGCAGCGTAAAGGGAGGGACATGTTTTTATAGTTTTATAGAAAGACAGGACAACATGTTCTCCATATAAAAATGGTCTTAAATTTTATTTAAATCTTATCTCTGGTACTTCTTCACTATTTTATCCCAGGACATTAAGACAATAAACATTTTTTATTTTTTTAAATGATCAGCTAATTTTTTCCCCCTTTTACATTGTTGTATTTTTGTTAAGTATTTGTTCCATATATTTCTAGTATCTGATGCACATCATACCTGTAATTCCCACAATTTCCCACACATGATTAATAATGTAGGCCTACTTCATTATCCTGAGAAAAATACGTAATACATGTCAGAGCACTCCTTGTTCCTTTTACTATAAAAGTTACATGACGTTCCTGAACTTACACAGACACAGCTATGAGGAAGCACCTCACCTATATGGTCAACCTTTGTCCAACATTAATAAGACTGCCAGAATCACAACTGCCCATAAAATAGTGAAATATTGTTGAGCATTTGTTCCGCTCTAGGAATTTATGGTGGACAAACCCTGTTTGACATTTATTTTTATGTGGGTGATGCTGGTGATTTGATGTGCATCACCTGACTGCTGACTGGTGTGATAAATAATGCTAGTATCTTGAAAAATGTATAAATAAACTTCATGTCATAAATAAAATAAGATCTACAGTCTTCCTAAAGGTTATCAGTAATTATTATACAGTTAATA